GCAGCCCCAGCGGCCCCAGGGCCCAAGTTGCCCGCGCCGGCGACCAGCCCGCGGCTTTCCGTGCTCTTGGGGAAGGGCTTGATGACCGCCGTCTGGTTGGGGTTCTCTTTCTTGTTGATGTGGACCGACAGCCGCTGCCACAGGTGCTGTCCCCTGCTGCTCTTCTCGTTCTGAGCCCAGGTAACGGATTTTCCATTAGAGCTGTGGAGACAGGAGAGGTGACTCAGTGAGGGCCGGGGGCGGGGCGCGGGGGAGGGGCTTCATGCTGCTTCCCCAGTGGTGGGTGGGTGCAGGCCCAGAGCTTGAGGAGCTTCACCTGTTCTTTCAGGAAATAGGGCATCAGAAGGACATCATGGGAAGGGACTTGGGAATTTGGAAGTGGTGTTTGCTTGTTTTGAATTAAAAGCTGCTTTATTTAATCTGGCCTGGGGGTTATTACTGTGAACCTGTCAGAAAGGTATTAGAACACAAGAGCATTTATTAGGATTCTGCAAGAGTTCTGACTCCACACGTGTACAGGAGCTGTTTATGCCACAGGTGTAGATGCCAGGGTTTGGAGTTTTATGTCCATTTGCAGAAGTTACTGGTATCTGGTACCAGGCACGGGCTTCCACTCGACGGAAACATTACAACTGTGACCTAAACTCACACACAATCAATTCTAATAGGGGAGGGAAGATGTGAAAGAATCAAGGGTTACCAGAAAGTGACAGTGGGTCCAGTTCAGCTTTTATCTTGCAGGCTGATACAGCCTTATATAACTAGAGATTTCTGCCTGAACTTCCCACTTTGAACACGATTTTATTTAGTCTGGCCTACCTGCTGAAAAGTAAAAATTCAGTGAAGACACGTACAAAATTTTCATTAGTTAGAATTTTTCTGGTTCATAGAAATTCTCACAAATGGTTTTAGCCCTAGAATTTGAATAATAAGTCTGCAAGGGAGAAAGCAATATATTGCTTTTGGCACCAAGTGTAATGACCTCAGATTAGGGATTTCATGACCTTTGTTTTTTTTTTAGGCCTTTCTCTTTTCTTTCCCAAGCTGTTCTGGGCTCTGGAAGCTGTTGTAATGAAGATGAATTTGGTAGCTCAATCTTAGTGCTGTACCTTCCTTACCACCAAATCCTGACCTAGCAGCACCAAGGTACATTCCCTCTGTTGGAAACCTCATTTAGCCAGAGGATATGACCTGACCTGCAGGGATGTTACATGGAGTGAGCCTGGTGTTATTCCCCATTACAAATACATACAAGATCTCTAATAACTAGAGATCTCTTACTTTTGATGCAGACAGCTCTGTTTGGGCACTGTGGCCAAGAGCTAGCCTTGGGCAATCTAAGAACAAGACTTTGAAGAACCCAATTCTATCATGTGAGCCCGGTGTCATTCAATTTAACTATTTATAAAACACACCCAAGGCATTTGTCAAAATTACTAGCTGTGTCCCAGGAGACTGAGTGTTTAGAATGGCTTCCATTTATGGATCCTTTTTACAAGAACTGTGTTCTGTGTCCCTGCCCTCTAAAGTGACTTGGAAGCAGACATTTTTCAAACTGAGAAAAAGTGACAGAAAGCCTACCCCCCACTTTTTTCTTTGGGGTTCCTATTTTTCCTTAGCCTTCTTGAAAAAGGGGTTGATTGCCTCTACCAGGCAAAGGTTTTAATCCTACTTGGAGCACAGCTCTGTTTAATTTGCCTGATTACACCTTCTAGATCCATTCCACATGAGACACTTGCTCCCTTGATTACAGTCAATTTCTATAGCCCGTTTAACAACATTCTTCTTGCTTATTTGCCATGCGGCTTATTTCTTCATCTGTCCCTTTCTGGTCTTCCTTTATTTGCTCCTTCCTGTATAATCTCATTGCATTTAATCTGTCATACATAAGGCAACCCAGTATTCTTCAGAATTTTGGATTGTGAAACATTCCCTTCCTCCACCTCTCTTCTCAAAGGATGAATAAATCATTTCCAGGTATGGAGGTTGCTATGCATTCTCAGTAGAAGTGGCAAATGTTTGCCTTATGATACAGTATTAAGATTTGTTTTCATTTTACCTTAACCTGCTGTCCTTCCTTTTAAGTTTTAGTACATTACAGTTTCCCAGGTGTACACTAGCTTTTGCAACATGACACAGAAGAAATGGGCCAGCTTATTTATGGGATTTGATCTAAAGACTGGTTGCCAACTACTCCTTTTCTCCCCTACCAGCAAGATAGAAAGCAGGAGTTTTTGGAGGGGCAACTACTTTTTCAGGTCACTGGGACCCCTTTTAATACAAAGCAGCGGCTAGAAATCAGAAGCATAACTGGATTTATTCTTCCATACTTTACCCTAGGGATGCTTTTGCTTCCAGCAGAGAGCTTTGGGGAACACCTGCCTTTAAAAATCTCTCTTTCTCTCTCAAATGCTTTTAGTATAAACTAATGAGAATAACTTTGGATGTGAACAGTGAAGATCTTTTCAGTCACACACAGTTATGCCCCAAACCATGATAGCATATTGAAAAACCTGTGGGCCAATGTACGAGAAGAAACCCATCTCTGCTCTCCTCTCTTCCCCTCCCCTGCCCCTCTTTTCTTTCCCTCTCTCTCTCCCTCGCTTTCTTCCTTTTTCTCTATTTTTGTATTTATCCTTTACTTGCTTAAAGAAAGCTTTCTTGATCCCACCCTCAAGTAGGCTAGATTCCTACAACACACAAATTTAGGCAAATTTATTTAATTTATTAAATATCTAAATTATTATTAAATTTGCATCTATCTATCTCATCTGCTGAATGGAAGGTACAGGCAGGTTTGTTTTCTGTTATGTTCTTAATGCCCACTACATTATCTATAACATCACAGATATTCAATAATATTTTGTAGTCAATACTTGAGTGGATAAAAGCATTTCAGTCTTAAAATTTATAATTTCTTATGGTTAGAATCGAGTTTCAAAACTTTTGTTTTTTTTGTTTGTTTTTTTGAGACAGGGTCTCACTATGTAGTTGAGACTGACCTGGAACTCACTATGTAGCCCAGGCTGGTCTCAAACTCACAGAGATCCTCCTACCTCAGCCTCTGGAGTGCTGGGATTACAGGCATGAGCCACCATGCCCAGCTCAAAACTTTAATATTAATGCAATTCTGTTTTTCTCATGTTATGGATATATCTATTTGTTATGTAGCTTGGATTAATCAGTAGTTCTCAGTGTATACAGATAAATAATATTTCACTAATTTTTAAAACCATCTTGATATCTACAGTAAGGATCACAAAAGAATACTTTTTCACACATATGTATCTGTTTTATTGAAATTTGCCAGTGATGAAAGCTTTTAGAGGCAGTGTGGGTAAATGAGGTAAGACAGGACCCATACTGTGAATCTCAGATCTGATCCTGTTGTTGGGCATGTCTTAACACCTTTGAGTTTCTTTCTTTCTTTTTTTTTTTCTTTTTTTTTTTTTTTTTTTTTCTTTTTTTTTTTTTTTTTGGTCCTGGGGATGGAGATTGAACTCTGGTCCGTGAGCTTGCGAGGCAGGTGGTGGAACCACCGAGCCAAATCCCCAGCCCTTGAGCTTATTTCTTTATTGGGAAAAAAATGGAAGAAATAAACATCTGTTCATTTCATGTGATTTCTAGCTGGAACCAAAAGAATCCTACATATGAAGATAATAAGCATAAAAATAGGGGGTTATTCATTATCTTCAAACTCCTATTTAGTTGTGATAGATGTGTATATTATTTAGGCTGATAATTTCTTTTTCAGTATTGACATGTTTCTTCAAGTGGCCTGAGGTAAGTGATAAGTAAAAAGAAACTTTTACTTTTTCCCACTGCATATCTTGGGTGTTACAAAAGAGGAAGAATTAAGTTTAGAGGAGAGAGGCAGGACATAATAATGGTTTGCTAATTCTGGGCAGGAACCAAAAAATACTGTTTCTCTCTTATAAATACCAGTTAACTCTTTTTAAAATTATACTATGTAATCTAATGTCTTCCCTTTTTTGATAACTTATTCTTTACTTCTAGAATTAAAAAAAAACCTCAGTGTGGTTTGAAGATTAGGGTTTTTTGGGGAATGGGTGGGTCTTGTTTATATTTCAGGTCTGCCCAGATTACACCTTGTACCTTTATTCTCAAAAGTTTATTCTTTCTCTTTTTCCCTTTCATGTAGGACACTTAAATAATTCATTAGTTTCAAGCCAGCTCTAATGTCAGCTCAGTGACCTCTCACAGTTTCTTTATTCATAGGCCCAAACATGAAGAAATTAGAGCATTCAACCACAGCACGCTATCTTTAGTGAGCAAGCACCATCAAAAAGTGTGTGAAATTTATAATTTTTGTATTCATATTAAGTGGAAGTTGAATAATCCATGTAGTTTTTTCCAGAATTTTAGTGTTGTATTAACAGCCGATAAAGTAATTTACATTTTAAAAAATTTTACTGGATTAAAAAACAGCTCAAATCTTAAGCTTTTTTTGGTGGCATGATTCATTAGTTCCTTTATAACTTAGGTTTTAGGGCATCAGAATACTGTAATCAAATACACCCTCTAAAACGTAAATTATTTTTATTAAAAATAGCCTTCATTAGTGATTCTTTTTTATTTGTGCATTTTGATTTTGAGAGGTAGCCAGGATGAAGATGTAGTGTGATTAGGAGCTTTCTATGACAAAAATGAAAATATAAGAAAAACTCGAAATGACATTAGCAAATCATGCCTGAAAAGGGACATCAGAAAAAATTAGTGCAATGAAAGAACTTCATAAATTAACATTATAGGCAGACAGTTTACAGTGGCAGTTACATTTCTGGTTAATTTTTCTTAAACTTTTTATGAATATATTTTGGTTTCCATGATTTGCCTTCAGTGAAAAAATATAATAATAAAGATTTTAAAAGATGTTGAAGAATTTGATGTTGTTTACAGTAAGATATCCATGATAGGGGAAAGAATTTCTTTCTGAGCTTTGCTGAAAACCTGACTCCTTCTTTTGAAAATTAAACTGAGAAGTACACTGTACTATGTAAGAAAATGGTAGAATTATTTATATAAATTTCTGTACTTATAGCATAAATATTTGTAAATAGCTCTCGTTGACAAAATTTAAATAGCTTTGACAGTATGTGTATTAGACATAAATGCAGAGAGAAAAACATGAGTGAAAGTAAATAAAGTAAAAAAATTACACAATATAGACATAATGAAAA